GAAATAAAAACATAAAAACAGTAGCACAATAACGCAATAAGTGATATAAGGAAATAACATGATCACAGTAATACAATAAAAGAAATAACCAAATAAAATTAAATGCAATCTAAAGATAGAAACATAGTAACACCATAACACAATAAGAGAAATAAAATATAAACACAGTAAAAGAAATAAAATGAACACAAGAACAAAATGATGCAATACAATGTCACAATAAACAAAATAAAAGTATAGACACAGTAACCCTGAGATACTAGCTAATGACTGTCCTTGAGAAGCACACACACCACGGCAAAGTTTTTCAAAGATTTATCACGATAGCACTACAGTCTTTTCTGCCTACATTTTAGCTGACTCAAACCGCACTGATTCAGTTTGCACTTTGCACTCGCGTTATCACTCGGGTCCGTTCTTTTCGAGTCTCCCGTTTCGCGTTCAGTGTCTACCATGTTCTTGCACTGCGCACTTCCATTCTTACTGCTTGTGGGGACCGGTGCCGGCCCGCTGCCGCCCATTCCTGACGCGTACTGGGCGGCGTTGGGCTACAGTCCTCCGTCCCTGGAGCTAGCCGTCGTGGAGCATGACCCCGCAGTGGCTGCCCTGCAGCGGGAGTTCGGCCTCCCTCAGACCGGGCTCCTAGACTCCGAGACGGTTGCAGCCGCGAGGCGCGGCCGATGTGGTGTATCCGAGTCCTCGCTGTGGCGCCCTGCGCGGTCGGCGCGGTGGGCGCTGGTGGGGTCACGCTGGCGCAAGGCGGTGCTCACGTACAACGTGACGCGGTACCACCCGGAGGTGGCTGAATCGCGGGTCGACGCGGCCTTGGGGCAGGCCGTGGCGGCCATACAGGCCGTCTCGCAGCTCCGCCTGGAGAGGGTGGCTGCTGGTGGAGGGCCCCCTGATATTGAGGTCCGGTTCGAGGAAGACCACCATCCCTTCTGCTTGGCGCGGTTCGGCCCCGGCGTGATGGCTCACGCGTGGAGTCCGGACATTGGCGGCGATGTCCACGTGCGGCTTGACCAGGATTGGGGCGCGGAGAGTCTGGAGTATGTGATTGCCCACGAGTTGCTCCACGCCATCGGAGTCGGGCACACATCCGACCCGAATTCGCTCATGTATCCGGCGTACCGCAGGGTCGACCCGTCGCAACCGCTGTTTTCTGCTGACGACACTGCTGCCGTGCAGCGTTTGTATAATCGTGGTTGAGAGAGGGGTGTGCCGCCCCCCTTTTCTGGCCGTGTGTGGTGCTCTCGTGCGTTATACATGTAAAATAAGAAACAATAAACACAGTGATTAGTATTCTATTCTAATGGCCATTACTATTTTCTATTATACAATTTCTCTCTAATATTTCCCTGGGAAGGCCTAGTGCCTTCCGAGCGCTCGCATGGCAAGTCTAAGAGAAAATTGCACTGAGGAGGGACGGTCTGGCACTGTAA